GCTGTGGCCTCCCCCATCCCAGGGAGTTCTTGGGTTGCTGCCATGCTCACATATATCCCCTATAATGGGTGTTGTTTCAGCAAATAGGCAGAGAAAACCTTTGGCTAACAGCTGCGTGGAATTAAGGGGCAGATAAGGCACTGTCTTGCAGAGCAGCTCTGAAAATATCTCTGTTGTAAATGATGGCTTAACGTTTTGTTGAAAAACAATAAACATTTGTTGCTTTTTATTTGTCAGCCTTGCAGATTCAGCTCAGCTGTGGATGAGTGAGCTGGAGTCTGCTTACAGGTAGCTCCCAGGATCGTTAACTATTTGTGCTCTTCATTGAGAATCATGAACTGTTTCCTTGTCTTTGCTATTCCTGACACTTCACAGACCCTGAATCTAAGAAAACAAAGAGTTCTCAGTGCTGGCAATTAGGAAAAACGTCTTTACTTCTAAATTAGCAAGGTTGATTTGGAAGGCAGAGAAAGTAAACACATCCCTGCTTTTTCACAAGGTCAGCGTAGAGAGTCTAATCATGTTTTAATTTGGAGCAGTGTCTTTGGAGGGTGGCAGGTAACACCTCATGGTACAGTAAAGGGTGATTCCCTGTCGTCAATGGCTTTGACTTTAAAATAATCAGTGAATGCTTTTGTGAAGTCAGGAAATGAAATAAAAGTGAATAAACAGTAAAAGTCCTCTGTACCATAGCAATAATCTGTATTCCTTTCCCTTCCAGGGTAAGGAAGAATGCCTGTGGTAGTAGTATTTGCTCTCACTCACAGGTGCTGTGTTGCTGAATGAAATGAGAGCAGCTTTCAGAAAGTCTGTGTTTTGTTCCAGAGTGCTAAACTGCTTGTCAAATGATAAATCAACGACAAGATCTCCTGTACAACTGGCACAAATGTAAACTGCACTTCAGCAGTTTTTCTGTAATTCCAATGGATTGCATTACTGGTGAATTAAAGCTCAGCCTCTGCCAAGGTTTCAGTGGTGGCTTTGGCTCTCTGAGTACCAAGGAGACCAGTGGAAGCAGGAAATAAAATTCAGATACAGCCTGTTACTGAAAACACAGCAGAGCAGAAGAGGAACAAGGGGCAGGTGCACACTAGCATTCCTATTGTAAAAGGTATATTCTAGAGACCTCCTGCTAGTTAGACATATCAGAATATTAATAAGTCTCATGAAATGTCATGTCTGCTATGGATAAAGCATGGATAAGCAGCTAGTTTTTAAAATCTTAAAATGCTGAAGAAGAGTTGTAAGGAAGGTAAGAGATTTGCTGATACACTTCAGCTTTGTCTGCAGACAGTGTGGTTTTATTAAAATTAAAAATTATGTTAACTCTTTTAGGGCAAAGCACTGCAGTTTTTGTTTGCAGAGCTATCTAATAATTTGGTTTTTCTTTAGCTCAGAATGCCAATTCTGAGTGCCCTGATGGAGCCTGTCCTGAAAGCACTCTAAACATGATTCCCTGCTAAGGCATGCACCTTTCCAACTTGCCTTGCTTCTGCTAATAAGGAAAATAAGCTCTGTCCTCATGGCCAGGCTCTCAGCAGATCCACGAGCCAGGTAGTGATTTGGTGTCATCTCTTTGGCAAACAGTGGGAAACTGCTTTCATTAAATTCTCTTGAAGTCTTTATCCAGGGGAAGCAGCAGAAGCTCAGTTGCTCCTGTTCTTTTTAACGACAGGAGATGTTTTACCTGGGATAGTTGCTCAGATGATCTCCAGGTGCTGTTGGCCACCTGATGTGGCTGATCCTAATGATCCTGAACCATCCATCAGAGCAAGCAGCTGGTGATTCTGAGCCAGCACTGGCTGATGGAGCAGGGAAGGCTCTTCTCAGTTGCCACGTGTGTGCACATGCTGGAGCAATCGGTGTATTACTTTGGTAATAGAGACAATTAGCAAATAGCATTAAAAACTGTTAAAGCATTAATGTATTTACCTTCTTTGCCATATTTGTTTCTCAGTCAAACAGAAGGACCATCTGTGTAGAGGAAAGAAATGGGTAGGGTTAAACCTTGGGATCACAATTTTGGACAAGTTTCGACTGATTTTCCAAGTCAAAAAAATCCTTTTATATCTTTGCAGGCATTTTCTGTGGTGGACATCTTCAGTGAGTGTATTCTTTTTGAAGTTTTTGAGCATTCCAGTTGTCATGTGTCTCTCCTTAAATGCCTGGTTAGTATTTCTGTACATGTGTGAGTTTTTTGACAGTGTCCTAGACCTTGGATGCCTTTCCTTATGTAAAGTAACCTGAAGCACTCATCCTGAAGGAACAATCTGTATAGATTAATGGATTTCCTGAGTACCTACACGGTGTTCAGTTATAGATTAGCATTAGCTGATGGGCACATTGAAGTGTTATGTTGTGGTTTGGGCAGTTTTGTGTGGTTCTGTATTTCTCCCTGTCAATAGGAATGCCAATAATAGTAATTTAAGAAGAAAAAAGTGAATTTTTTTTTCTAGAGAGGACATAAATATTTCTGTAGGTAATGAGCTCCCCCAACATAAAAATTAATATTAAATTAGCACCCTGTCACTTATATGAGTGCAGACTTTGATGTCATAATTTATTAATTTCTTGGCTCACAGTTCAAGTCACTTAAAGTATCATTGATGGATTTTCTGCTGGAGCCTCTGCTTTTTGCCCTTCCTTCTGTTTGCTCTGAGCTCCTGTCTGGAATGATACCAGCAGAGATGTTCCCTTGGCACAGGTGCAAAGGTTTTTCAAGAATGCTCTTGATTGCCAAGTTTTTATCTTGCTCCTTTACTGCAGTACCTTTATTTTCACTGTAGGACAGCAGCTCAGGTGCCCAGCCCACTGGTGGGTGCAGCTGGTGCTGTGTGAGGCTTTCTCTGCCCACAGGGAACAGGGCTGTGAACCTGTGGAGGGTTCAGATCCCTCAGACACACTGGAAAATCCCAGTGATTGAAAGCACTTTTCCTCTGATCTCTACTTGGAGTAATATCTGCAAGTCTTTCAGTTTTCCTTGATTGATCTTCTCATTAGCCCCAATTTTCTTTCCATTGCATTGGTCAAGAGGATTGATCTTCATTCAAGAAGTGTGTCTGTGATATTGCTCCTCTGTATGAATGTGCAGCAGTGCATGTTCATTGAGTGCTATACAATTTCTGCATTCTGTATATGGATTATAAATAATTGTGCTGTTGTTCTGTGCACTCGCAGAGGTTTAAATCAGCACTATTATGAGCTGCATATTTTAATAATTTATATCTAAAAATACTTAGTGAAGGAAAGCTGGATGTGTAGCTGTATGAAAATCTACCTTTTGCCCATAATTTGTGGAAAGACAATAGTGATCATATTATAATGCACATATAACACCCAATGCCTTTATCTGGAGCTCAGCACTTTGCAGTAATCAGCCCCATGTTTCATCATGATTATGCCCTTGCAGCTTTCTCATCTCAATTTTTCTGTAACTAATATAATCCAAACTATATTATCCTATTAGGAGGCTAATTTTTTTTTTCCTCCAATGAGCAGCATGCACCTGTGTGCTTACCATGAGGGAAGCAGTGGAAGTGTTCTCCCTCTATTGTCTCAGTGTTCAAGGAGATAATTCAGGCTGTAAACAGGGAAGATGGAACTTGTTGAGTTAAAATGAGCACATTAATTCTTGAACAGAGCCCTGCTTTATGATTTTCCCCTTCATTACTCGTTTTACATACCTTGGCTGTGTCTGCAGTGGATGGGGAGAGGCAGCCTGGGAGTGTGATCTGGAGCATCACTCTCAGGCCCTGTTTGGAATAAACAGGCTGCTCCTTTGCACCAGCAAAGCTGGAGCACAGCCCCAGAGCTCAGTGGTGGCATCTGCAGACAGGCACAGCAGCTCCTGGGCGTGCTCAGGGTGGAGGGGAGAGAGAACAGTAAAGAGGAGCTGCTGTGATTTAAAAAGTGCTCCTAAATTACAGTGAGTAATGAATTGCCAGTCAGGCATAATGCCAGGGTTGAGCTGATGGGAACTCTCATCACAAGTAGCTATAAATGCAGCTGTGTTGTCAAAACTTGGAGGTGTCACACAGCCTTTTGAACAAGGAGTAGTGTGTTACAACAAAGCAGTTCTTTTTCTCTCCTTTCCCACCTCCAAGATTACATCTTTTCTGCTCCTTCAGAGCCAGGCAGCTGCAATCATTCTTTGCTATTTCCATCTACACATACCTAGTTAAACTTACAAAGAGAAATGATGCTTGGGAGGTCAGACTTGAGACAATTGAAAAAGTTGAAAGACAAAAATGTTAATTTTAGATAACATGATGTGCATGCTAGGGCAAGTGTGGCTCAGGTTTTCACAGCAGGACTCTGAAAATAGATCTTTTCCAGGTGTCTGAATAACCAGAGAAGCCATTGGAAGCCCAGTGTCAGGTTGGCAGATGACTCCTATAGTGTCTGCATTTATTCTTCATGTTTTTATGTGAATGTTTAAGCAATCCTAATCTTTGGGCTTCAGGATGTTTCTGTTATCAGGGCACAGTCTGCTCAGGTAAACCCGTGACTGAGAGACTGCAACACCCCTGTTGAAATTTCTGTGCTTGCAGTGGCCATCTGCTCTCTAGCTCTGTGTATGAAAACTTAATGTGGAGATGGAGCGGGTGCCTGAGGCAAAGAACTTCGGATGTTTTCACTTTGCAAATTGTTCAGAGAATTTGTTAAATACTTTCTTGAACACCCTTGGGAGCATGGATGGTGTTTGAATTTGTTCTGTGTATAACTTAAACACACATTTCAGCTGCAGCTTATAACCAACATGACATGGTGTGTTTGCTTGGTCAACAATGAGCAGGTTTTTTAAAAATTTCACCTTTCACAAACAGGACTAAGACTTAAAAGGACTGATACTGTTTTCCTTGCTTGCTGAGGTAGGAAAATTACAGCCAGGCTGTTGCCTTGTGAATTGGGCACCTGGTGCTGAAGGTTAAACCTGGAATCTGTTTCTCTGTATAATCCTAAGAAGTGGTCTTGAATTTTTTCCTCCCTGTCCTTTCCAGAGGTCAGTGTCCCAGTGCTGTAGAGAAAACCACCCTGGATTTTTCCTGTTGACCAAATTTATTGCCTTGGCTTGATTTTGCAAACCAGAGTTGTATGTCTGCAGCATCCTTCACATGACATTCCAGGTGAGTGTTCCTTGGGGCTTGAGAATAGCTGTGTCACCTAAGTAGAGTTCAGGTAAAAGACTCCTGAGTGCAATTGCTGGTTTCAAATTTGTTGTTTTCTAATAGGATTCATGTTCCTCAAATTTAACATGAATTCATGTTACCTCAAATTTATCTAGCAAAAGTGTGTGTGCCACTGAAAGTTTCAAGCTAAGGTTAATGAGAGCCTCATAAAAACTTGATGCATCAGCTCCTGAACAGGAAATTTCACCTTCAGAATCCAGGATCAAAAGCACCATAGAAATCATTGCTCTGATGTCTCTATTGAAAAGACAGTATCATTAGTGCATTTTTCTAAGTGCTAGTTCTCTCTAGTGTGCATTACCATTAAAACTTCCAGTACTAAAATCTATATTACTTTCCTTGTGAAATGAGGTTTCCCTCAGCGCCATCCCTGCTTGCTTGAACTGTGAATGATTGGCTCTGCATGGAGCACTTTGTAACCCTCCCCACGGAGGGAGGCACAGGAAAATAAGCATTACCATCAAGTCTGTTTTGCATACTGTAGCTGGGTGTAATTCCTGAGGCTGGGGCAGTCAGGCTCTGCTGACCCTGACTGCCCCACTGGGCTCTGGGCAGGTTTTGTGACAGTTTAAAAAAATGTAGTGTCAAAGGACTGCAGTTGTTGTTTCTGTTATACAAGATAGAGGAACAGGAAACTTCTATATAATATATACTCTGTTATTAAAATGTGTCCTTCTTTGAAGGACAATCACTTGAGGGCCTGTCCTTATGAAGTTATTAACTCATCATTTTCAGATTATTCTCTATGGATCCCTGTTGGTCTATTAGCTGCTGCTAAGAGATCTGAGAAAGGTAATTAAGGAAGGCAAGAATATTATTATTATTATGCTGACATTGGGGGATTCAAAGGGAAATACCTAAGGGTCTGCAAATCAGCAGAGCAGGAATGAAATTCTCTGAATGAGAATTTCTAGGGAATACATGGGCACACCCTGTGTTTTTTCAGGTCATTCTAATAAGAAATATTTCATCTGCCTCAGCAGATTTCAAATTTTGTAATCCCGTCATAGCTTGGAGGCATCTTAAGGGTAGATGTTGTAAAAGGTCACATTAACTGGTATATTCCTGGCAGAAAATAACACTGAATGACTGAAATACTGGCCTGGTAACTTATATAAGCTTTTGTGAATAATGAAAACTGTTTTGTTTTTTTTTTTAATAATGCTCTTTGTAACTGTTCTGCAATGCACAAGCTTCTCAAACAGGTTCTTGGTATGTCTGTGGCAAGGATGCATAAAGGGAAGAAAGAAACAGTGTCACGTGCTTGTTTGACATAAATCTACTCTGCTTTATTGGGTTTTTTTTAGCGAAATGTACAGATATTCTCTAGCAGGATTTAACCAGGAGGGCTTAAACAGCAATGGGAAATTTTTGTTTTCTGACTGTGTCTTGAGAACGTCTGGAAAGAACAGGTCTCACAGAAACTTTGGTTACTTTGTGTACTGAGGCAGGGAATGGGAAAGGATCAAAGGTCTGCTGGCCTCGGTTGTGATCTGTGCTGCCTGGCCCCAAAGCAGGCTCGGTGTGGAGGTCTGTCCTGTGGGGTTCCCAGAGATTGCTGGGAGCAGCCTGGTTATTTCTGCAGGCAATCCACAGGGATCTGCAGGTGGAGTGTCCCGTGGGCATTCCTGGTGCAGGCAGAAAGAGCTCGGCTTTGGTTGCTCCTGTCACAAGTGGCAGAAATGGTCTGGACTTCTCCAAAGCAGCCTCAGTCTCTGCTCCTCTGTGGCCTTGGGAAGAATGTAGATGAAAGTACAGCACACACAGGAACCATCTCTTTCCAGACTTATAAAAGTCTCCCTCCCCCCAGGTTTACACCCCTTTTGTTCTAGGGAGGCTGAGGAGTTTGTGTAGCCCCAGAGTGTGCTTCACTCGTGCAGCTGAACCCTCCCCTGCTTTGTCCTCTCTGTGTTTGCTGTTCTGCACAGGGCAAATTTACCCAGAAGCTCAGCTGGGGCTGGCAGTAGCTCCTCTGACTTGGAAAATGCCTCTGAATAAATTACCTACTGTGAAAGAACAATACATATTCTGCCCAAGAGCCAGAAAATGAAACAATAAAGGGTGTTAGAATAGTTCTTAAGAACCTGGGTACCCTGAAGGAAAATGAGACTTCTGGAGGGTGATACTGAGAATCCATTTTAGGAACCTGCCTCTCCTTTCAGTAACTGTGCATGGAGGTATCAAATTGAGAATGTCTAAAGTTAAATGGTGTGAACACCTATCAGTGAGCAGCTTTCAGGGTGTTGAGCAGCACAGGGACAATTTTTTAATAATTTTTGGATTATTAACAACTCTTCTCGTTCTCTTCTGAGAGCAAGGGCATTCCCAGGAGCTCAACGCTTCTTGCACTGCATGGACAATGTGAAAGGGCTGTAACATTTCATTTATTTCCCTCTGTTGTTCTTACAACATTTGTGTTGCTGGATTCAAGCTTGTTTCAATGCTGAATGGGTATATGTGTTTCTGTTAAAAAAAAACAACAAATGTTCTGAGGAATGCAAGCACTTGTGGTGAAATTCGTATCATTTTACACAGCAAACAAGATTAGATGTTCATAGGAGCATCTTTAGGCCCTGCAGCCAACAGACATGTAGGATTATCAACATGTCCCTGCAAATAAATAGTTCATTTTTTGTAACAAAGCAATACTCGCTGATACTGAAAACTCTAAATTAAGATGCTGAAAAACAAGATCTTTATTTTGGGCTGTTTAGAAGCCTGCCTCACAGAAAGCTGACTGTTGCCAAATGTCATGGGAATGAGGGACTTTAAACATGTCACTGAAGTGTGTACTGCAAGTTCCTTCATGGTGAAATCTCAGATAAATTGGAAGCATCTCAAACTTACATTTTGGGAAAGCTGAGCGAATTTCAGATGGAAATGAATGGAAATTAATTCAGGGTGTAGAATTAAACCCAGCCTCTAGGGGCACAGCAATTGTGCCTTTTAGGAAATGGCCTCCTGCTCTTTGCATTTTAACTGTCTGTAATTACTTTTGTGGTTTGTTGGTTGTGGAGGAGCTTGACAGGCTGGGAATTGGCAGATTCACTGTTGCCTTTATTTACAGTGCTTTTGCCAAGTTATTAAGTCAGCTATAGGAGGTTTTGTCCTGACAAAACTAATCCCTTGGTATGGCCAGACACTGCATTTTCCTTTTAACTTTGTACTACTATTTAAAACTGTTTTGGCTAAGATTTGGATTGGCATGAATTGTCAGAAAACCACCAAAAAATCAGTATGGATTAGCCAGGTTTTCTCTCCTCCATCTGTGTCATGTTTTGTCTTCTCTCACAATGAGCTGTGCAAAGCTGATTATGTCCAGGGCATTCTGCAGCCCTGGAGTTGCTCCAGTGGGGATATTTGGGTACTGCCAAAGGGACAGGGGGCTTGGAGAAAGCCAGGCAGCCCCAGGAGCTTTCAGAGCCTGTTGGATCTGCTTGCCCCATGAGTGCTGCAATATTGAGCACTCCCTGTGATGCACCTTGCTCTGCCTGGGGAGGAGGAGGAAGGGCAGGTGCAGAATGCAGTGGTGCTGCTGACCTCCAGGACTGCTGAATCACCACCCTGGGGCAGAGATGGGCTTTGGAAAGTGCCCAGGGGTACTTCGACACTAAGTGTGATGCAGATACCAATTGCTGCTATCATTCTTTATTAAGAAATGGGGACATGTTTTTGTCATTATTCTGTAGGTCCTTGTACAATTAGGCCCTGACCTTATCAGAATAACATTTGAATTGGAAATGAGCAAATATCCAACATCCTTGCACTGGAATTTTCTCGATTCTATTAACCCTGGATATATTAAAACCTGGCATTAATGGTGGTTCTCTGGCACCAGCAGAATCTAAAAGTGCCTTATGCTGTCTGCAAAGTGACTTATAAACTCTGAGATAAAACCTGTACTAGCTGCTGCAGTTGGGCCTCCTGTCCCTTCTGCCACAGACTCAGCTGAGCTTCAGATCAAGTCCAAGCTGAGTTAGGGAGAGGAGGAGCTTGCTGAAGAACTTTCCTGTCTTCAGGAATAAGCAGTCCTCATGAGTTCCACCCAGACCCAGTTCTGAAGCCTATCCAGGTCCCTCTGGATGGCATCTCTCCCCTCCAGTGTCCATCACACCACACAGCTCTGGTCACCAGCAAACCTGCTGAGGGTGGGCTCATCCCACTCTGTGTCACCAACAAAGATACCAGTGCAGGTCCCAGGGCCAATCCCCGAGGATGGATTTACCACTGCTCTCCTCTTGGAACCTGAGTCATTGACCTCAGCTCTTTGAGTGTGACCATCCAGCCAATTCCTCATCCACACATCAAATCCATGTGTGTGAGCTGACACATAGAGGCAACCAGAGCAGGCACCAAGGCCCAGCTGCAGTACAAAGAACAGATTTATTTCATTGCCTTGCCAACAACACCAGGAGGACATGGGGACACAGCCATGTGGGGACACAGGATCTCTCAGGCCTAGTTCATCCTAGCAAATACTAGTTTTTCCCACTCTGATGTTCTTAGCATTCCCAGCTGCAAGGTATTTTTGAGTGAAAGTACCCCCTGCTCACAAAAATCTTCTGGGTTTAATCCTTTTTTCTCAGCAATGTCTCTCTGGTTTAGACACCAGGACATCAAAAAAGATGGTGTCAAACGCTTTGCACAAGCCCAAGTAGATGCCATCAATTGCTTTTCCATTTTCCACTAACTCTATAACTGTGACAGTTTGCCATCAGATTTGTCAGAGAATCAGATTTGTCAGGTAGCACTTCACCATGGTGAAGCCAGGGTGGCTGTCACCAGTTGTGTCCCTGTGTGCCTTAGCATGACCTTGTTGGGCACCAAGGTGAGACTGACCAACCTGTAGTTCTCCAGGTTTTCCTTTTTTTCCCTTTTTATAAGTAGGGGTTATATTTCCCCTTTTCCAGTCAGTGGGAACTTCATCTGCAATGACTTCTCAAATATGATGGATTGTATCTTAGCCATGTCCTCTGCCAGTTCCCTCAGGACCTACAGATGCATCTAACCAGACCCCACAAAAGATTTCCATGCTGCAGCTCCCGTTAGCTGGGCTGGTATCTCAGTGGTAAACTAGTGTTTAAGAACAAATTCATTTTGATTGATATTTAAATAACCCACAATTTCATCTCTGGCTGGAGGATCTTGCACTCTAGGGTAGATTACTTCTGTGAATATTTGATCCTCATTTTCTCAGTGAAATAAAGCTGTGTTCATGCAGCTAGGAAGCATTATTAGGTGGTAAAGGCACACAGAGTGGTCTTCATTAGAGAGCAGTGTTAATTACAAATGCCAGGCAATTTGCAGGCCATCTATTCTGGCTGTAATTATGATGTTGCTTGCAATACCTGTGTCTGAGAGTATTTTCCTCTAACTAGGGCTCAATTCTTTTGACTCAGCAAGGAGCCTCTCTTGATTGTGGAAACAGCTCTTTTGCTGTCTCCATGGGCAGAGAATAAGACAGAAGGGAGGGAAAACTTGGGAAACAGCCAGCAGTGGAAGCAGGCAGCGAGTCCTAAGTGACTGTGTGGGCCTACACAACAGAGGGAGCATGTCTTGAATGCAATATGATTCAAAAATAGGCTTAAAACAAGCCTGTTTGCTGGTGTGCTTTTTGCTCAGTGCAACATGTGTTAATTAGAGCTTTAGCACAGCTTCTCAGCAAACAGCATTTTCCCTCAAAGAGAGACAAACAAGCAGAGGGAGAATTTTGATGCTGGGAATAAGGTACTATGAATAAGAATCAGCAGCCACGGGTTTAGTTTAAGCTAGACTGGAATTTATTGCAGCTT